CCAAATTCGAGAATTTTACGCCGCACCATCCCATATCGCCGCAGAACTGTGCTGTGCGCGCAACGCGTGCTGCGCCAACTGGTTAATACCTGAGCAAGCAAGGGAGGCCCCATATGAGCCAAATGGTGGGCTTTAAATCCTGCCTGTGTGTGAAGGGGATACTAATTATCAAAAATTGCTCCCTCAATTCAGGTTAAAAAGTGATTTTCGAAATGAAAATTTCAAAAAATCGCTCTTAGCAAAAAATTCCAGCTTTTCTTGCCTTTCACATAGGTTTCTCAAAAATGGGAATAAAATCATAGCAAATAGTAATACTCCGAATCAGTAATACTACAATAACACCACAATAGAGAGAATCAATGGAAACAGTGATTCTTCGTATTGAATCGTTCTAAAGTAGAAATATAGTAATTTATTGGCTATAAAACTAATTCAACGAGCATTCAATTCTAAGGTCAACTTATATTTATGCAATATCGATATTTTTTCTTTCGTTCAGGAGCTCCATACTGGTACAAGTGTACAGATGCTGCAAATCAAAGTTGCGCAATACAGGCTTAGAAATGATTTAAGAAAGAAAAGCTATCAAAAAGATAAGCAGTGATTCGAAAAGCCATCTGCCTAATAACAGTGAAAATCTTGTTTATTTTAGTTTGGTTCATTCCCACTTCTCCTCAAGAGAACCATTGCTATTTTGTCAACCACAAACCACTGCATTCGTCGTGTATGCAGATTCAAATGTTACCAAGGCAAGCATATAAGTAGACGATGTGGCGCGAACACCGCCCTCGTTCGCTCTCGTGGGATACCTTATGGTGGTTGAGGCACTAGCGGTCGTGTGTAGGTCGTTGCTATGGCGAGGAACCGCGCCGCCATCTCTACTACTAACAAAGAAATGCCTCGATTCCGTCATCTAACCTGCTTTATTTGATCAGTTATACATTTAAATGATGCAGTTATTGAATTCGGCAGTCAATTACAATGAGAAATCCATCAATGGATGCTCTCTGCTGCTCACTCGAAGGGTAGGCTTTGCATTTACGCTTATTCAATAAGAAATCTCGCAGTTTAAAATCTTGAGAAACAACTCAATAAACACTTTTTTGTTCTTCCTCTGAAGGGAGTAATACCTCGTATGAAAAAAAAAATCGTTGTAGTCCTACCTAATGAGGACTGACTGCCCCTTCTCTAATTTTTTATGGCTCAAACGAGGATTCATAGTTCTTTATGTAGCAATTTCCGAACAGGTCTCTGAGAACTTCCTTTCCCAGATTACAGCAAATATCTCATACCACACAATATGTTTGTTACTGTACGAGCCTCAGTACTATTACGATTGTATAGAATCAAAGATTTGGAACTTCTGAGTTAGTGAACAAGTTGGAAGCGTACTGGTTAAAGCAACAGTTCAGGAACGGTTTCGCGGGAAAAAACCACCAATAATGAAGTTGTAGATGAAAACCAGACGATTAATGTATGAAAAACTGGAAAAAAACGTCGGGGAGGGTCTTAGACAGGTACTCTCCCTCTGCCGCTCAGCAATGGATAAAGACGCACGTTGGACGAGTTGTCTGAACGTGCCCGCTGTAAACGCGCTCCATTTTTCAATCAATTTTCCCTGTGGTCCCAAAACGAGCACGATTGCCGACGCGTCCAATGACGGCCGGCAAGGGGGCGGGATTGGGGAAATCCCCAAGAACACCCATGTTTGAGGGACTTTCCACCCTGTTTTTGAGTTTCTGAGGTAAGTTCGTTTATTATTTCCACTGCATATGTTCTTCACTAGGGCTCGTGTATCCCTCAGTAGTAGTGGCATTGAAATTTTCGGACCCTCCCTGAACTGTTGCTTTAAGCGTTTAAATTTCAGCACTTGCTTGGTTCTCGCAAGTTTTTCACCTTAATGGAATCTGTGAATAGAAGCTGCCGAATACAAATTATTTTTTGATATATCTTCTCTAACAAGGAAGGTCTTTCAGGGTGTGCCAAGCTTTTTCAAAACGGTCTTTTGCATGATATAGAGGCACATGCGGGAACCACAGAACCATGGTTAATTTTTCCTGAACGGCCCTCTGAATACCAGAAAAGGGGGTCCCTAGTCACACCTTTTTCACCAGTTTTTCAATCAAAGTCTATTTGTAAGGGTTACTGACGTTCCTAATCATGAATTTGGTACTAATTATTCATGCTAACTCCATTTTGCGCGAATTTGGAAACGTCAACACGAAATGCAAAAACTTGTCACCACGAGGAATCGAACTAGGACCCCTTTTCTGGTATTCAGAGAGCCGTTCAGGAAAAATGAACCATGCTTCTGTGGTCCCCATATGTGCCCCAATGTCATGCAAGAAACCATTTTGAAAAAGCTTGGCACACCCTGAACGACCTTCCCTTGTAGGATAACATAGGAATGTACTAATTAGTACATTAACCCTTTGACGACCGTAGGCGAATCTTTTCTCGTGGTTTATTTGGAAGTTTTAATGTTCCAAAACTGCCATTTACATTATTGGATTGTCAAAACAATATATTCATTATTAACAATAAAATTGTTTGAGAGTTGATGACCACTGATACAAAAATTTGAAAAAAAAAGTGCTGCACGCAGTAGGTCGTCAAAGGGCTGAAGAAAGAGATCTCTATTGTACTGCAACTGCTGAAGAGAAGCAGAAAAAACTCTTTCGAGTAGAGCAGCGCATTTGCTGTTTAGGACATATGTCGAGTTAAGTAAAACACAGAAACGAAAACCTCATGGACTTGGCACCACCCCAGTGCTGACTGATTTCTATCCTTAGATTCTTCTCCATCTTCAGTAGGACCTTAAACGATTTCTGTACTCCACAACCGACCAATTTTTTTTCAAGATAAAAGTTGACTTACTTTTCAGGTCAAAGTACCTGGAAATACTGTTCTCGCATGTGTCGAATGGAATCTCAACACGAATTTCCTGGCCAGTGGTGGCTCAGGTGGTCTACTAAAGGTGATAAAACTAACACAAGGTAAGTGAATCAAGTTATATATTGAGTGTATTGATGTGATATTGAGTGTGCAATAATTGATAGCCTTCCTTACAATGGAATTTGAAAAATTAAAAGATTACTGCTCGTTCTGATTATAGAGGACTCGAAAGGAGTGTCAACCATGAACATGCCGGTGAATCAAGCCCTGGAAGGACATAGCGGTAAGTACCTCCGTGGAAAAACTCTTAAAATACGGCCGAGTTCCACAAATTCCCCCGGAACTCCTTTCGTGGAGCTAACATTCGTAAAACTGAATACTCTCACTCAGGGTGAATAACGGTCGAGGAAATCCTCGACAGGGGGTCGTATTTGCTCCGATGAGAGTTGGGAGGGGGTCGTAATCAAAAGGTTCATCAACGGACACAACGGTGCTGCTGCCACTTATTTGCTGTCATCATTAGTTTCACAAGTGTTGTACTTAGCCTAATGCAAATAACATCTTACAAGTGGTTGTTGGTTTGGTTCGTAGTGAAGCCCTGATATACGAAAATACTACTAGTTTTTTGACATTCGTGTGCTGCTGAGCGCATATTTTCTGCCTTTCTAAGCTCTCTCACCTAAAGCGCTCGAAGGCAAAGT